GGGGAACGAACGCACTATTATCCTTTCCGGGGAGTAACGCGTTCACCACCACACCATGCGGGTCCTTTGTTTCGCCTGTCTCTCAGTTATTTCTATTTCTATTGATCTTTGCCACAGCAATCACTCGTCAGCGGGATAGGCGAAACGATATCTCAGCAACGTTGTGGTCATAAATGCACACTTTACCGTAACATGACATTCAGGAGCACTGTTTTTTCCTCTCTCTTAGCCACGATGAGGCAGTGAACCATAGAAAGAAATAAACGGAAAGTACATCTTAAAAGTCGATAATGATGAGATTTTTAGGATTCTTTCGTGAATAGGTGATATCGAAGAACTCGAATTTCTGCGGAAGTAATCGTTCGTCAATTTAGTTGGTAACTCTGGAAGTGATCGATCAACAGTTTATCGAGAAGCACTTTTACACCATATGCTTTAACACATTCGCTCAAGCATATTTGTGAGCTGTTGATGATTTTGCAGTGATCTTGAGTCGTTTCAAGAGTGGCGGTGATTAGTCGTCGCACGCGACCGTCGAGTGCGGCAAACAATCCATGAAATTGGCTGAAATCGGTGTAAGGAAACACCAAAATACGGCAACAATTTATCGTTGAGAAAGATATTGTATGTTCAGCTGTTAAGTGAGAAAAAAGAACAGGAGAAAAGAAGTGAGGAGAGCATGAAGAGAGGTATGAAAGATAATCATCCTCAAATGAGGTTGGATCGCAGAATGGCTGAAGGCCATGGTTGCAGCTGCTAGTAATCATAATTGCGAGCTTACCTACGCAACTAGAAAATAAAGAGGAATTAGTTGTTGCACGATTAAAATCAAACTGGTCAGACATCTAGTGCACATGAGCTGCATGCTAATGTGCCCACTGGATGTCAAGCTCGCAATGTGGAGATCCCCTCTACAAAGGTCAGGATTCTTCGCAAGGATCGAAAAGAAGTGTAATGCTCACCCAGTACCTAGGGAGAACAGAATTTACTAGGCTAGTCTTCGATGCAGCAAGAACAAAGCATACTTTACTGCGCTAACTCGTCATTCGATAATCAACGGGAAGACAGGTGAAACTAAATGGGATACAGATAATAATAAACGAAATAGAGTCCTAGCATATAATAATGGATAATAATGGGATAAAGTAATAATGATAGCCATAATAATAACAATAATAATAGTGATAATGATAACCAATCCCGTTGACGGGTGATTGTTGATGGCAGTACTCGATAGAGCTAGTTGAGAGACGGGCGAAACGAAGGGACTCACATAGTGTGGTCGTGAACGCGTTACTCACCAGAAAGGACAATAGCGCGTTCGTTCCCCACCGCAGACACCCGCGGTTCAGAGATTTTGCAAATATCTCAGCATTATAGAAGATAATGATAATGATAACGATGAGGATAATAATAATAATAATAGTAATGGAGCCATGATGTAATTAAGGCCGCATGCAGCGTAGTGATTTGTAGCGCGCTAGAGTAGGCTTATGATCTTTTGCTCGATCACTCGTTGCTGGCCGAGCAAGACTCCACCTGTTGACTGTTTATTGCCAGACAAGGCTAAGTGGTTACAAAGAATGACTTGACACATCGATGCACCGCACCAAGTTATGTTGTAGGCCAATTATGTATTCAATCATCTCTAGGATTCGAATGAAGTCTAATGCACAGGGAATCAAGTATTGATGTTGGCAAAAATCCTTGTTTTCTACCTTCTTTTATTATGACATTGTTGGACTCCTCTATTACAGTACATTGGATAAATTGTAGAAATCATTGTAAAGGCAAGAAGTGGTTTGTCCATAGCTGTTTGCAGACCTTGGATTGATGTATGGCTTGGTTTACTCGGGTGTGGGGTAGAACCAACGACCATGTGTGTTGGAAGTCGTCTTACCATTGTGTTACAACAAACTTTTATGATGGACTATGCGCGCGAAATATTGCAATAAAATACAAAATCGGTGTTGAAATGGTGTGCAAAATTAACGTTTAAAAATCAAGGGTCGTCTTAAGATAATATATCTTTAGGATTGCCTTTTGAACAATAACGTCTTCGAGGTGGAGGTAGAAACGGCAATACAAATTTGGACTATCATAAATCTAAAGGATTCCTTCACTAATTACATAAAATATGCGTTTATTTTAACTGTTTACATTTGGTTTATATTTGCTAAGTTATTATTCTTCGTTTTATTATAATTATTTATGGAAGCGTTTAAAACCTTTGTGAGTGTAAAGACCACGCTCATAAGGAAGGAAATGCAAAACGAAAGGAAAAGAGCGATTTTCTAGTGTATGGTCTATGAATTGCCATTCTTATTACTACATTATGAAAGTATTTACACATGATGCATAGTGCAGTACAATTACCCACAACTCTAAACACGCAGTCCCTGGTTCGATCATCACCGTCGCTCCTACGGTGCTTTGCATAAGCCGGGCTCATTAAATTAGTAGTAGAGTCGCTAGGGAAGGAAAAAGCACTCGCTAGACCATAGATGAATCATGAGCTTGTTGTTTCCCATAATACAAGCCAAATTCACATTCGCCTCTTTCATTTCCTATGAACAAAGAAGTAATATGGAAAGAGCAAAAGGGGATTTGGCCTAGATCACCATAAATTTTGAAGGGCGGTTTTTTAAGCGTTTTACATCGTACGAACTGTTGTAAAAAGAGCTTGTTCCGTGCTTTCATGTAGTGTTTGAACTTTTTTAAGAAATAAAGCCCTAAACGGTGAACGACGAGCAGTGGTTATATGTGTCGAGCAACAACGCATGCACCATACTCCTCGGTTTGACCCAGAGTTAGACCAATTCTGAATCCCACAGTCACCGGCAAACTGGCGTTAGATTTGTCTGGATAAAGTTCGTACAAGTTAGGAGAGCTCTTAGCAGAGCTACGCCAGGCGTATAGGGCCAATCGATTAGACCACCATTCAACCAGATTCACGAAGAAGACAAAAGTCATTGGGTGGCATTCGAGCCCACACCTAAATCCGAACACCTCCTTAAATGACTGATACGAGACAACGAAATGAATGGAAATGTTGGAATCCACTTACTGCCGATTGTTTACAGCTTTGTCATAGCCGTCCTACTGTAATGTATGGCACAGGGTTCATTTCTTGGTGGGATCACCTAAACTGGGAAGATGTCCAAAGCTCCCAGCTAAAAGCTTAGTGTTAAGAGTGAGCCACTATTGTTGTTAATCACCGCCCATCTTTGAAGTCGTATTAATATTCATTTCTTGGTACCCGCCAAGCCGAAAGTTCTCACCAGTCGAAAAATTTAATCTTTTTTGGGTTTCTACTTATTTCTGTTTCAGAACCCATTCAAATGGAAAGTGTGCTTGAGCTTGAAGGACTCATTGTGATGGTGGGCCATTCAAATAAACAAGTGCTAATTGGGAGAACTCCCTCTTTTTGGCAGCAAGGCAGCATTTAGAGTACCTTGAAAGACTCTTAAGCAGAAATGTTGCTGCTTAATGGTCAAACAAAACTTCATAAAAAACATTCTCTAGGTTTTAATGTGGTTGCTCTCTTTTCCAAAATCTCTCTCATTTTTCTTTTCACTCCTCTGTCCAACGACTTTCATTACACTTATTGCCATGTCATTATTTTTAATATGCACCTATTTTTTATTAGTTTCTTATAGCCTAGTCGTCCAATTTGAACACTATAAGTGGTATTGAAGGAATTAAGACGGACAGATCGGTATTATTGAGATTTAAAATAACGCAAGAAGTGGACGAAAAATAGAGAGAAAGAATGAAGGGATGAAATAGAGCGAGGAAGAGTTAGGGAGTGGGAGTAAGCAATAGAGTAAGACAGTGAGTGAGAAAAGTGAAATCAAGCCTAAAATGTACCAAGAATAACGGTACGAAGTCAGCATCATGAGTATTCCTTCGAATCCGTTTCTTCTTCTAGCAATGCTTAACAGAATAAGTATTGCAGATATAAAATACCTGCAGCTCAACCTGTGTTTTGTAAATTCGTAGATGTTTTATATAAACAAGTAATATAAGTGGGAGCAAAGATAAGGAAATATCTGTAAAAAATGAGGTATAATAGTTCCAGTTCAAAATATGTTCACCTCACCATATTCTTGAGAAGAAATGAAATACTGGGACAGCTAAGACACTTTTTCCAGTTATGCCCTCAAAAAGCGACGTCTTTTCTGTAAAGGACTGTAATGTACTCTAGTTCTCAGCAAATCCTTCAGCAACTGTTTATCGGAGTTTGTGAGAAGATGAAATTTTCATGTTTTTTCAACTGACGTTATTGTTTTTCGTTCGTTTGAAGCGTTGTTGTTCGCGCTATCTGTTTGCACTTACGTCACCCTGAATTAGATGTGATTTCTCTTTCGATTTATCCAATTAGACTTTTCTGTTATAACTCTATTTAGTTTTTAATTAGCGGTTTTAATTTTACATGATGGTTGAACAGTCTCTTCAATTGCCCGTTTTCACAGAGATTTATGTTGGTCCTAGAAAGATTCTCATCCGACTAGTAACCACTTAAGAAAGATTTTACCCTTGGAAGTTTCAGGACAGCTGTTATAACACGTTCTACATGCAAATTCGCATTTATATAACAAAATCATAGTGCTGTCAAAAAAAAGTCACTGATGAAGCAATTGTTCGTGGGCCAGTTGAACATAGTTTCAGCTACCGTGGGTGATTAACTACGGATGAGTAATGCTTTCTAGTAGTTATGTGCTTTCTTAGGTAGTTGATGAAGTTGAAAGGCTGAAGTAGGTTGTGTGTTGTCGTCGTGAAACAATTTCTTCCATATTCTCCACGTTCATCGCTGGCACCACCCACTATCGGCTTTGACCACGCCCCAGCCAGTCGGTTGTCTCATTTTTCGGTCCGTATGACAACTGCTCAACGGCAAATCGATCTGCTATTTGAGACGGACTATATTTTAAAGCGCTATCACTAGAAGTATAAAGGGCCTGTCAGATTTGCTAGATCCCGTCCGATGTGCTTTCATGATGAACTGTCCGCTCATAGATGTGAAAACGCGGTGCATTATTGTGATGTATGCTATTCTAACATCACAAATTGTCATTGGACTATCGTGTAAACCACGTGCAGGTGGTACGCCGGTTCCGATCGGAGTGTTCATAACATCAGTTCTGCCGAATTCTCTCGACAAGAAACCGTTCGATGTCGTACCGGCTATCAAGCTGGCTTTGAACTTTATTCAGAACCACTCGTGTATTTTGAATGGTTTCAAGTTGGAACTCATCTACAAGGATACAAAGGTAACCAACGACTCCTTTCTTTCACATCGTTTGTTTTATCCAGAATTCGATAAAGACAAGCAGGAATTATTTGAAGGGAATTGCTTCTTACGATCGCTGATTGCCTGAAGGCAACTTCTATCCAAGCTTTTGCCTGTTCATATCATTCACGTTGTTCATTATACGCCATTTCTACTCTTTCAAAACGAAGAGAAAAAAAACGATGCGAGATCTACTGCAGAAAAATTTTCTGGATTGTAGTATTCTTTCTTGTGTAACAGTGGCTTAGAAGACAGCATAATTTCAGAAAGATGAAAATTTATTTTTAAAGCTGTTCACGACGATGCAAGCCACATGAGCACACATGCTTTTACCGTCGTGATAGGAATTACGTGTTTACTAAGGTAATGAAAAAATGCCTTATTGTCAATGTGTTGCTCAAGATAAGAACATAAGAAAGTAAAAAAAAATTGACTGAGAAATGCATTGGAATCGAGGCTGAATTGATGTGATTTGAAGGATTACACTAGAATATAAACTAAGAAGAAACGAAAAGTGCAGCAATTGCAGGAATGTGAAAGAAAACAACAAGGTTCTTAGAAGAACACGAGTACGGGGGTTGGTATTTAATGAGCTCATTACAAAACTGGTAGAAATAGGCAAGTTTACAATCCTGAGTTCAATATTTTCGAAGTTGTCATATTCTAATAATAAAAATTTCCTTCATTGTTTTCTATCATTCCTCACTTTTTCTTTTGTTTGATTGCTTCTTTTCTTAAATCCGGCGTTTTTAACTCGTCATCTGTTCCGCGTACATAATTTTCCACGGTAATTGCCCTAAATTCCTAAGACGCTCGAAACCTTTACTATTTCTCGTAGAAAGAGAAAGTTTTTTCGCTCACCATTTGAAATTTCTTTAATTCTTTATGCTCACGATCGTTTATAGCACAGTAGTTTGAGCTGCTCTGCAGTACGCACAGAGTCTGGGTTCGATCTTCACTCCCTCTGCATGCTTTCCGTCCGTCTGGTGTCGTCATATTGACACTGGACTAGTCTAGGCCGGTAGCACTTGGCACAATCTTGGGCCACCTCAGGTCTTTGTATGGATTAGATATATATTCAATCACTCTTATCATGTTATGAACGGAGTTGAATGCATGGCGCATCTATAAGAATTCCATTAATGTCTAACGCGCTATCTTTTATTCTACTGTCAACTTAAGAATAGATTTCCTCGACTATATGTGGAAGCCACGGATCTTCTGCTATATTGAGAACATCGAGCCGATTAGTCGCGGTGCCGGCCTGGTGCATTCCCAAATGACGGCGGAAGGCATGGAGATAACGCTTGGACCAGAACGGCCACGAACTTCTTCTGTGATGGCGATAGGCTGTTCGCTGCTGTCTTCGCAGCGGCGGATTGACTGATGTCTTCCGCATGGGCTTAGACGTTTTTTATGCGTATATGGGCGGTTGTTCTTTCCCATTTTACCATCCATAACGACCAGAATAAACGTTTGCACTTATCTGCTGTCAACGGAAAAAACATGTAGGAGAAAGGTGAGGGTCGCTTGTAGCAACTAAACTTCATTTCTGCTTTTGGAAAGTTCGACAGAATACCTATGAATTTATTTACTTACATCACACGGATGGTCCAGTAAAGCATAGTTGTCCTGACAGCAAAAAACATTGAAAATAGTGCATGTTGTATGAAAGTTATCACATTCCAATTGTCCCTCAAGAGTGCGAGGTCCACTTTTCACGTAGAAGCGCGAATAAAAATTTTGCTGTAGGTCATCCGATACTTTCAGCAGTTACAATTGATGCAGGCTTGCCACATCATCCATGATCGAATTGCCCATCGACTAAGCACTGGATTCACTGCTGCCACTTGATTCTCGTCTCTTGAACGGCAAGTTTCGAAGCAGCAAATATCTCTCCAGACTACAAAAGCTGTATTGCCTGCGATGTGGTGACGACGTAAAAATGCTCTGGCACACTAACTCGGGTTTCTAAAGAAAATCATGCAAGAGCAGCACTAGATAGTGAAATGAGAGGGCGGAGTCTTATATTGCAGCCTAAACAACTGCATCCGGTCGCTTCTATAGATTGCGGTTCCAAGATAAGGAAACGATTGGGAAAGTGCTGGGACCATGAGAAGACAGTCGCCTTAGCATTTAGGCAAGTATCTTAAAGTGCCTACAAGTGAAAATGCAGGATGCTTCGAGTGGTTGATGCACTGTTCTCAGTGTGGTTAAATCTTTCCACCTGTCCTTTATTCCAACTGATTTATCCTTTATTCCATCTATACAGGTGAAAATCCTACAGATTTCTCTTTTCTTCATTTAGGAATAAAAAAATAAAAAATAAAAAAAGGAACTAAATTGTTAGACTAAATACATTAAATTTTCGGCGTGAGTCTGTAGTTGATTTTTCAGTAAATATAGCAGTAGAAACTACTTTCCTATGCTCTCCTTTCTTGTTTCCTACTTCTTCTTTGGTTCTTACTTCTTTCTTCTTCTTCTTCTTCTTACTACTTCTTTGACTATTTCGCTAGACTCCGTTAGATCCATTAGTAAAATCTTAAGGGTTTTCTTTTCTAATTAGCCGATAAAGCATATGTTTTCTTTTACCGGAAACCGCCGAAACGTCACCTACAGCGTCAGTAGGTAGCTAATAAATTCTACAATATCAACCTCGTGTTTACTTATCGAAGAAAAACAGTGTTTCTTTTAGTTGCAACTTTATTAGAAAGTGATGTTATTCAACATTAGTATTGGAAAATTCGTTATGGTAATAGCCATGGTAGTAGGGCGACGAATACCCGACAATGGGTTTGCTTTAGAGACAACTACGATAAAAATCGACTCTAGAGGGAAAAATCACGACACCAAGCATTTTTCAGTGGAACTCACTTTGTGCGATCGATAAAACTTACAGTAGTGTTCTAGTAGTTACTCATTCATCAACTTCTCTTGGATTTCTAGAATATACGGAACTTTTTCTATTTTCGCACTTTTGATTCAATTCATCGGGAAGCGTGCACAGGTTCGACCACTCCACAACGCTCTCCACCAACCTACTCCGTGAACCCCGCTATCTCCAAGACTTAATAGAATCGACTTGGCCAGCGTTCTACGACGTTCATAAGGAAGACTACCTATGTAGCAGCGGAAACGACACGTGAAGTGGTTGAAGGCCTTTGCTGACGATGAGTGCTGCGAAGCTGAATAGAATGCTAGAAGTGATGGAATCTACACAGTAGATGCGATAACGGACCATGTAAAATGAAAAACATAGTATTTTATTCTTTATATCCAATTAATGTATTTCTTATCGACTTTTCGTGTTTCCCATTTTTGGTACTTTCTGGCGACCATATAGTTTTTACTGCTACGGCCGAACTTTCTTATAAACTTGTTTCTTTTTTCAAGCTTTTTCCGGAATAATTGGACTCTTAAACTCTCTGGCGATTAATAGTGATAAACTATGAAATTCGGTATTAGTAATCCAACCATTCCTCTGTCCCTCCTCCCCCTCCCATCCATACTTCAATCCATCCATTCATTCATCCATCCGTCTACCTATACATACACAAACACGGCTAATTTACTTCATAAAATAAGAAGAATGCAGTGTGAAAAAAGTCTCTTTAAGGAGTACAATATCTTTCATATAGTAGCATAGAAGCAGTTCTGCGAAGAGCAGAAAAACTTCAAGCTGGAGAAAACTCTTGTAAACTAGTGGGATTTAGAAAGAAACTAACAAGAGGCGTGGTTTCACATCTGTGAGATTTTTCATGTAAAGCTCTGCCTTAATATAAATGTGCTTCAACAGTAAAACAGAGCATTGTAAACGGTTCTTTTCGATCAACAATACGACTAAGATATCGCTAGCGTTTTCGGGATTTGAAGTGTGGAAAAGAAGACGCAAATGTTTTATTTCTTCAGAAATTTCTTTTTGAAGCAATTTTTGCATGTGATTAATTTGAACTCGTTTTTGTTAGTAGCATTAAGGTTAATAAGAAATAAAAAATGCTTGCACATATTGGACATGTCGACTTATGTGAAATAACCTGAACTTCAAAGAATTTGCTAATGGATAGCAATGGCTTTCAAACCATTAGGATCTTGACTACATCTTGTTAGTTGTATTTCTGAAATAATTAAAATTCGTTAAGGTAATATTATTGATGATCGCAGCATAGACCGTTGAAAAATCGGTCAATAAATCGATTTGGGACTGCTATATTCCAGTTTTGTAATAATGGCTTTGTCGTTGAGCTGAAATGCAGCGATCATGGGAGGCGTTCACGTATTAAATGTCATTGCTGACCGATGCTGGCGAGTTGTAGTGGGAGCTGAGATGAGTCACCCTGTTGTCATTTGAGCGACGAGTTTTTACGTGCAAACCCAAGTTCTTAGGTGCAAGGACGAGTTTCTTCCGGCTAAGAAAACTTCTTCTTAACGTATTATTTACGGAAATTTCGGGTATAAATGAAATTCATAGGGCATGAATAGCACATGCATATTAAAAATCTGCTGCGATACGGAAATTAATTAAATGACCAGTAGTAAACGTAACGGCCACAAAAAGCGAAGAAGAAATTAATCATCATTGTAGAAAATTTAGACTGAATTTCATAGGATAACAAAAAAACAACAAGCTTCGTCGAAAAATTTGCATTTTGGAAATATTCATATTTTAATTGATAGCTGAAATACGTTTGTTTAGAGTTGAAAGGGTAAGGGATATTTTCAGCTGTGTCCACTGGCTACTCTGCCCCTGCCCAAGGATGATTATTATGATTAGTTCACATCGTGCCCCACATGTTGAAATAGACATAAATTGATATTATTTTGTTAAGTCCGTGAGTTTTTTTTGCAGTGTAAGACATCACTCGGTATGAAGGCGCTGTTCGACTTGATCGCATCACGTCCTCGTCCTGTTGCGTTGTTTGGCGGCATGTGCACAGAAGTATGCAAAATTAAATCTAATTATTTGACAGGTTTTTCTGTTTTACACATGCTTCTTTAACCAAAAGTCAAGTCAGCTGACATACAAGCCCAGTTGGCAACATTAACGAAACTACTTGTTCTCTTATTCATTTTCTACTTTTGAAATGAATTTTAAGGCATTTTTTCTCAGAATTAAAGTATAAGCGATAAGAGTCCTTCCAACGGTTTGCCGCTTCATCGTGGCTGGGATGTGTTTCTGGGTTCGGACTGCCATATAAAGTAGGGAATTCATCTCTTGGTAGGGTATCATAAGCTGAGAACGTGTCCGGCGTTCCCATCAGGAAGCCTAGCTAAGAGTAAACCAGTACCAAGATCCACCACCGTCCTGGTATTAAGGTCGTATGATGGCAAATATCCCTCTGATCCACAAAGGCTGCAACTGCCTGTGGTGGTGAAGACCTGAGGCAGACTTTGGCCAGGCTGACCTCGGAATTCTAGGGAACCACAATAACTTAGGCAGCAAATCTCCGAAAAGTGGAGATTATGCTGGGGCCCGCACAACCAGTGAGGGCGGGCCATTCAAGTATCAAGTCTCAAGTGAGCGATGAGAGTAATGAAGAATGAAACCAGCGCCGACGAATATGATAATGGGTGTGCCCAACTCATCGTCACTCAATATTCCTCAGGAGTCGTTGAAACAGTCCATATGGACTTATGTGTGTCTGATAAGATCGAAATGAGAACCAATTATGATAATTATTCAAAACAAATCTTGGGATATTTGTTTTATTTAAGTAGTTTTAAGCTGCTAGAAAAAGTTTGGTTACAATGAAAACGCAGATCTAAGTGGAATAAATAACTGGTAGTATTTCGGAAACCGACTTTCTTTAGCATTGACGTAACTAATCAGCATGTATTTTTTATCATTGAGAAGCTAGCAGGAAATTCATAAGAACCTTATTCGGCTAATGGTTTAGCGTCTTCACCATCTTAAGAGCCGGATTGAGCCAAGTCGACTGTCTGCAGTTGTTCCTTCTGATGTAATTCATCGTGACTAGAAATCTTTTTCATTGAGAAGACAAGAAAAGGTTCACAAGAAACCTTATTCGGCTAACGTTTCGGCGTCCTTGCAGTCTTCAGAGCCATATTGATACAGGTTGACTGTCTACAATTGCTCGTTCTGATGTAAGTCATCGTGACTGGATATTTTTTTCATTGAGAAGACAAGAAAAGGTTCATAAGAAACCCTATTCGGCTAACGTTTCACATGTTCGCCGTCTTCAGAGACGGTTTGACCTAAGTCGATTGTCCACAGTTATTCAATCTTCGTGATTAGATCGAGTGAGATCGCATTACATCCAATCGTACACGGTTCTAGAAAATATTGGTGGAAATAATCGAAATTCTTCGCGAACGGAAAATTTAGGGGCTTTTAGCGAGTTCAATCAACTTTCTAGGAATTCAGTGTCTTTTTTCCGACTGCAGTAGCAAGCTAAGAGTTAAATTACCTGTAAATCTAAATATCTACATTTTTATCAGTTTTTGCTTACAACCTTTACTGTTTTACATAAAACAAAAAGATTTTCGTTGTGACGAGTTTCAGGTGAACGAACCGGTAGCGATGGCACTGAAGTACTGGCAAATTGCACAGCTGAGTTACGCCGAAACACATGCAAAATTCGCCACCGCTGACTCTCATGAGGTTTGTGGACCAATTTTACGCCACAACATTTTTATATGCTGTAAATGGCGAAAACGACCGTCCTTGCACTATTAGTCTCCATAATTTTGATTCTAGTTTGTCTGGGCCTGTGTATTGCACAGTGAGATGCCGTGTAATACAAATGTGTTCATTGATTCGATTCTACGATCACGCAAACCATACTCTTTATCCTTTTGGAGTCGTCGAGTTAGGATCGGGGTGTTTAGGGAAGATATAAAATATCAAATTAATGCATTAGCAGGGTTCTGAAAAACATTTCATAGGCCAAATAAAATATCTTCAATTACCTCTACGATGTTACGAATGGAGTCGAAGACATGGAATATCCATCAATAATTAGTGAGCGCCGAACGGTTAATAATTATGTCTTTGAATTTCTTGATAGGCCTCTTAGTTTCTATATTAAGAATTTTCCTTCGTCGTACTTAGATACATAACCTTTGCGTGTTTAGCATTAAAATGGCTGCTTTTAAAAGTGTAATGAGGATTTAGTCACTTCTACATCTACGCTTAGACGATAATCCAATCTTAGGCATTGACGATTTTGTTAATGAGCAAATTTCTCCATTTGATTTTTTTTACTACGTTTATTGTTTTTTCTTCTTTTTTTAGTCAGCATCTGATATCGTTCCCAAAATAATAGCGAATTAACCTTAAAGAATAGCCACTTTTGCGTTTTTGCTTAGACCATATCAAAACTAACGGAATTGCACTACATGTAAAAATCTTAAACTTAGATATGTATTCTTTCTTCGATGAGCTTACACGAGGTTGATAATGATGTCTATTTTCGGCTAACGTTTCGACGTCTTCGTCTTCCTCAGAGCCGATGATCCGAGTCGATGGTTCTCGCTTGTTATTCGTCTCGACGTGGCAGCTTCGCCTTCGTGTCGAGTCAGGTCTTCTTCAGTGAGCCATCTCCTCGAATGAGGCATCATTACTCAGTGATGCTCTTTTATACACGATGCTGATGGTGGATGTAATGATAATGTTCGGTGATAACAACTTGTTTTTCTCCCGGACATAATCATCGCGCACATCGTGCAGAAGTCGGTGTCATTATCAGCTAGCACAAAGCGTAGTAATATTTCAAAATCGACTTTCCTTGAACCTCGGTATCACTAATCAATATGTATTCTTAAACTATATTCTAAACTATAAACTATTAAACTGTATTAAACTAACTTAAACTATTAAACTGTATTCTTAAACTTAGAGGTGAATTCAACGAGAAGTGCAAAACTGACGAAGTCTCTTCACTGGTTGGCATACATTTATACATCTATCGGCTTCGCGAATTCAGAAGTCTCGTACTAGCCATTGTTGGATTCATGTCAATTTCAGAAAACCAGAGATATTTTTGCTTTTCAACTTTTTCGTTTTTTACTTAAAAAATAAAAGAAATGTTTTCTACAGTCACACAAACCTGGCTCCAGACCACATAGTCTTTATTTTCATCGAAGTAGGCTTTCTTACATCAAGTCGACTTCGAAATCGTTTAGACGGCTGTTGTTCCATACTGGGGACTGATGTAAAGCAGATAAGCAGCATGATTGAGTGCCTAAGTGAATCAAGCGTCAGAAGGGCTTATTCGCCAGACAGCTTCGTCGACCTCGTTCGGCTGATCTCAATTCTGGCAAATAAGTCCTCAATCAAGAACCCCAAGGGGTGAGCGTAACCATATTACTAGTGCTAAGTTCGTCAGCGATAACTCCTCACCATGGACGGAAATCAAAACTGGATTCTCACGAACGCCTCTCAAAGAACATAACACAGGGAAACAAATGCGTTTGTAAAAGAAGGCTGATATTCTGACGACAAGTATTCATTCAATTTCTAAGCTTCGGCTTCTTCTGATCTCATTAAATGTTGAATGTCGTTTATAGAACAATCTCACAACCACCTATCTACTTTTGTGGGAAGAAATATTCGCCCCCTTAGTTCTCGCTTTTCGAGAATCCTATGCTTCAATAATTGGTGAAGAGGGGCGGGTGGAGTATTTCGACTACTTCTGGATAGTAGAAATGAAATCTTTGTGAAAATCTTTTCTTCCTATTGCTATTCTAAATAATTAAAGAGTTGTTCGACTGTGGTACAACTGTAGAAACGGCCAGTGGTCGTAAGGGTACATAAGTGATTTTAGTTCGAGGCAACACTAGAGTTAACCAAGCTGCCCTTTCCTCCGGTGTCTAATAAATTGATGCCAAAGTTGTCTGATAGGACAGAAACAGTGCACAGAGCCGTTTTACATCGTAGGCTTCTGCATGTGTAGGCCAAATATGTACCAAATCACCTATGTGATAGTATGAATAGTCACGTAACTTGATCACGCTGAGCGTTTTGTCTTGTATGCTTTTATTACATTGAACAGTTGTCGAACCTGGCACTTAGGAATAATCAAGAAACCATTTTACAATAAATAACGTTATCTGTAAGCTATTTAAAGCTCTAGAAACAGTCATCAGTTATCATTTCTGGCCTATCACTCATGCCACCGCTTTTGGTCTGTTGCCATCGTGCTGTCCCTTATTTAATAACGACGAGAGGCAAAATCACATGAAGAGTACAGGCTGAGTGTTCGCGTAAGGCGATTTAATTTTCTTGTAGGATGGTCTCACCGAAATGTTCGTAGATTAGCTGAAGATTGTCATCTTGAGCTTCTGCAGTTACCGAATAATAAAAATCGAAACAATAATGCTCAGATGATTCACATCAAGCTGGCGACGAAGTAATTGTGTCAGCGTATTGTGTTTGTTATTTGGGACTGTCTGTCAGCATCTTCTCCTCATATTTATTTTAAAACTATAGAAATCTGTGATGGAATGTGAATAACACTCTCGCGTAGCCAATCTATGTGACGATACCTAATAGTACACGAGTGATTAAATTTAGCCGGCCAATTTCCATCTACCCAGATCTCACTTTAAACCATTTTCCAAGCAGAGAAAATGTTTATTAAATGATTTTTCACACATTGCTGTTACTATTCGGTCGTTTCAGCTCTATCCAACATTTTTTCGAGTGGTTCCTGGTGATCGTAATGTGAACAATGCGAAATGCCGTCTGATAAATCATTTTGGCTGGAGGAAAGTCGGCACTTTAAAACAGAGTGACGAGCCAAGGTATGCGTTGGTAAGTCGAACTCCACGTCGTCATTTAAACTTGTTTATTGGTTGGTTTATTCTTTTATGCTCTGTTAACTCATCTAACATGCCTGAGCTCTTACTTACACATCGGAAGTTTTTTTTAAACATTACCACGCATCACATATTGTGCTGATTCCAGCATTTCTTTCATTCAGTTAATAAATTCGACTATAACTTGAGGCTTTGTTTTTTTCTTTCGTTAATATTGTGAATAGTAGCCGTTATGGCTTTCCTCAGAAACCCGGGACGGTCGGCGTAGTGCCTTCCTACGTCGTCATCACAACCAAGTGCTGAGCTAACTCTTGTGGATTGGGCGGAAATTTCCTGTCTAACCACTCAGGTGCTCTCAGGAAGACTGTGACTCTGTGAACGCAGCGAGCGTTGCTATTAGTCATCTATTCGCTAGACAGTGATGTGATAACCGGAGCCTTCAAATTTTAAAATGAAATGAAATTTGAACTAACTTACATTTGTGTTGTTTATAATCACAACGGACCCAAACACTTGGAGGAATCATGAACGCGTCGTTTTCTTCCTTAGCAATCGCAAATTTGCTATACAGCATACGTTTCCCTCCATACACATACACACATACAGTACAACAGTAGCTGACGTTTCAGCAGCATCGTCTTCTTCAGAGCCTGGAAAGGAACACTGATACGTAATTTGCTAGGTCAAACGCTTCAATAACACATGCAAAAAGATGAAAATATGTATGGTAACCACATAATCAACAGCTTCTTGAATCGAAAACCCACCTTTTTACGTGCCTATCATGCTATTAATAGCAGAGAGGAATGCCGAGAGATCACACGTGATCTCGCTTCGTACTTCCACATCGACCCGGATGTGGGATGGTACTCTCGTCAACCACTTACAACTCTGATCAGCGGTTCTTCCACAGTGAAAGGCACGTAAAAACGGTTGGTTTTTTGCGAAGCTCCTCATCATTGATTGCCATACAGATTTTCACATCTAAGGCCATCCAACTATCAAAGTATCTGGTTATCAAATCAGTTGTGGTAGTTTATGTGTTTCAAAGATTGAATAAAGGCGCACAGGAGTCCACCGACTCAGTCGTAGTCATAAATTAGCGCTGAGCGTCAAAATTACCTTAGTTTACTTCGCTTCAGGGTCTATTTGTTTCCTACCAATTGGATACCATTGCGTTCTCTCCGCTTTGGATATATTTTTGTGCTCAGCTATGTTCAGATCTACCAATAATATGGCATTTGATTGCAGTGTTTACACAGTTGCATTAACGGACATGTGGTGTTGAACGCAGGAACGTCTCGTCGAAGCTTCCTAAATTCATTCACGATTTCGAATGTGAAGAAAGAAATCCACTACCAGATTTTAAGAGGCGTGAATCTTTGGGACATTCTTGTTATAGCCGAATTTGGCGTAAGTGGCTCGTACACAACAACAAAATAGTTAATGGGAAATTTATTAGCACACATGGCCAGGGTAAGAGGTGCAGAGGGTGTTGGACCCTGCCGTCATCTATAAGTACGATGTTGTGGGTGTGAAGGAATCACGGGTCCAATTTATCGTGAGTGATTTCAAATGGGTAAAGTCAGCTCCAAAGGCACATTGGTGTAAGCCAGAAAAAAGTGCATAAAAGAATATCTGTTTTTGTTTGACGAATTATGAGAAGAAAGCATGGAAGCCGCTATCAAACTCTCTGTGATTGGAGCTTCAAATTTTCATGGATTCATGCTGGGGATTCGCATGTACAACAACGGAAAACTCAATAGTGCACAGGGTAAGAGGAAAAGAAAAAAATTTTCAGAAAGGAAAAAAAGAAAGAAGACTTGGAAATGCGCAATTGCAGTCGTCATTTATCCACTTTAAAATTGCTTGTTTTGCCGGTTTTTTGTGTCATCTTTGTCTTTTTTCAGAGAATCCTGAAAAGAAATAGCCTACCCTTTTCTGGATATAATTTGGTTAGGATTATTGAGTCAACGCTTTGATTTCAGCCACATGAATCATTAACCACAAAACTGGAACACAGTTACGGTATCAAGGTGGCGTATACGGCAGGTGTGACCAAACACGAAATGGACAACATTGGCAATGAACTCGACGAGTTAAAGGTAAACTCCAATAAAGCAACAATGTCATTTTTTTTAGTTGCTTACATTATTGGTTGTTATGCATGGCACCGGCTTCAGGACTAACTAGATTCGCATTCTCGATCTGGTCGTTCAGTAAGGTTTCCGAATTTCTCATTTGCTTTTTGAGCATTTGCTCTTCTTCATGAATGTCCTCGAGTGCTGATTATTTCTGCAATTCTTCGATGGCTCTATCAGACTTTCGAAGTCGATACCACAAGTGGTCGCTGATTATTCTTGTTCGAAGGAAGCTTTCTCTCAGAAAAGTTCGGTGCAGATTTTCTGACCCGGAGAGGTGAAAGGTGGTTGTCTAGGTGCATGATTGAACATCTACCATGTGTTATTGTTACTCGGCATCTTTGAGCACTGCGTTTCCAGAGCCTTCCACCAGTGTAGTGTTATGCTATGAATTGTGAGAAGAGACTTTAGAAACCACCTTATAAACATCGGACTCAAAAGTTTTGTAATGTTCTTTGAGAGAAAAGGAGCGGAAAGATGACATTAAGTCTGAAATCAGTCAAGGTTAACTCATTTACAACTGACTCATGGATATTCTTGGTATTTCGGTAACTGTTAACAACCCAAGGTGATAGTAGCGCATACAAGTGGTTTCTTTCAAAATCACATTCTCATAGTTATCCAAAAAGAAGCCAAATCTCGTCGATCAGTGGATGCCTACCACTGGATCATCTATTTCCGTTATAACTTTCGCATTTGGGCGACCGCAGAAATTCTAGCGAAGTTTGTCTCGTTGGAGTGATATAACGAAGAGCTTCCCAAGATCCCTAAGGAATAAGCGAGATGTAGGACGCACCAGTGTCGCAGTGCTTTGATACACACGGCTTCCACCGCAAATGGACAACACGTGGTGCGCTAGGGAGGAATTAAGCTGGATGGGGGTAGGGGTTGATATTTGAAAAACTCGTGAAAGGTTGTTGAACGACAAAAAAAACGGAGCGTTCGGTGCCATTGTAGAGGTGACCTGACCTATGCGATGACTTGCGGTAGCCTCGCAGTGCTTTTGCCCTATCGGCTAAATTTGATACTATGCTACTCACCCGGAATACAGAGGGTTTCTTTGCTCAGGACGTGAGGTCGAACAAAACTTATGTGTATAGTGCAAGGCTCTCTAACCTTACGCTACATTTGTCTTTACGTTGTTGGCAACTCTCTGCCTCAATCGACCATGAAGTTTTTCCAAATTTCAGAAAAATAGTTTTTTCGCTTGTTGTAGATAATTTCATTTATAATCCACTGACAAACAGATGGCTAAGAGTGATTTTCGCTGCTAGGACAAGAAAAAGGATGATATTTTCTTCGTAATTTTCGTGAACTTGGTGATACGCAGTTTTTACAGCGTGGTTTTCAAAGTTTATTTGCATTTTCTTTTTCAATATGACCAATACCGTGTAAATTTTTGTGACTTCGAGTTTTTTCACATCAATTCCCTGTAAAATGTAATTTTTGCAAAAAGAATTTGTGACGCCACTAACCAGTTATAGTAGTACAATTTTGTTAAACGTATTTGCTACGATGTGAATTCATTTCAAATCACACATAAACGGGGCGCTTCGAGTTGATTTCCACTCGTAGAAAATGTCCATTTATAATCTTGACCTTTTTATTTACTGCCTATTCATTTTTTAATGGCAGGGTATATTGCGAAATATAACTTCCATAATGCTGAGATATTTGCGAGACTTCGGACCGCAAGTGTTTGCGGTGGGAGCTGAACGCGCTATTGCTTTTTCCGGCGGCTAACGCGTCCACCACCACACAATGCGGGTCATTCGTTTCGCCTGTATCTCAGCTAGTTTTCTATTTCTAAAAAAAGTTGACATTGTGATTTAAACTACAGCTTCAGCTTAACTGGGTTCAATGCCGATTTGGGCTCCTCAGATCAATCCCGCTGACGGGTGATTGCTTATGGCAGTGATCGATAGAAGTAGTTCAGAGGCAGGCGAAATGAAGGGCCCGCATGATGTGGTGGTGAACGCGTTAGCCTCTTGAGAGAGTAATAGCGCGTTCGTTCCCCATCGCAGACACCTGCCGTCCGGAATTTTGCAAATATCTGAGTATCATTACGGTTGTACTTCCCGTACTACTCTGTAAAAATTGTAATAGACAGCAAATAAAAAGTTAGTATAGTGATATTTCCGTTTTTTATAGAAACAAAAAGGCATTCTAAATGGATTCAGAAGATCTACCTTAATTAAGATTAATATTCAGTCAATTGCTCCAGAAAGTGTGAAGCTTTTTTTTATAATAAAAAACAGAAACTGCGCTATTTAGCGACGTGATGTTCGAATCTTGGTCGTGGATGTAGCTGAAGATATGGCAGCCATTGTGCTATGCGAAGCTTTTCATCGTCAGATGTACGGCGAAAGCTATGCATGGATTCTTCCTGGATATCATTCGATGGAGTAAGTGATCTTTCTAGTAAAAATCAGCTTTATTCTGATAATGTATAGTAGTTGAAATTAAGGTAACATCTATGAATAAAAGCACAGAAGCGTAAAGCTTCCAAGGTCGATTGTTACTCTAGAGAAGCTTCCACGATTTCGATTCCAGTAGTTCAGTAGCGGTGACTTGGCATTCAAAACCACTTGTGTGGCGAACCGATATAATGTATCAATTTGCCTGCGTTTTTGTCTTTAAATGTTTGATGGCATTCTAAACCTTTTCGCTTTCTTTTAATAGTACTGTGCTATTTTTGTAATGGCAACGTGGAGATAAAGGGATTACATAAAAGATGAATGGTTTTTTCACAATGTTAAAAAAACTCTGTGAAAAAGTCTGAGAAAGAAAAAATCAGGCAGTCTTTTCAATGTTTTTTTGTTGTTTTCTTTGTGGCTTACTATCAAATTTTAGATGGATGTCCTTTGGTGTAGAGAATTGTACAGCAACGGAAATGAGTGAAGTGTTCGAAGGACATTTTGCTGTCGAATTCGCCTTGGTACGGAAGGATAATCGAAGTCATGTTATTGGCGGCAAAGTGGGTGAAATCAGGACAGTTCGGAAGTGTAACACCTATCGTACCTATAGGAGATGGAATAGTCGATGAATTTGGCCTAAAGTCACGACATTTTCACCCTTTTTTGAAAGTTTTGTGACTTCAAAGAGAAAAGTTATACTCCCCATGTAACCATCATACTGGATCGTTTTAACTCAATGTAAATATAAAGACTACGTGTATCACTAATAATTGAATCGTCCATCATCAAGAATCGTGTAGATCTCAAAAAATTTTTTTTCGACAAGTATACTAATATCAGACAAAACTTGCTCGCTTGAAGGGTGTCGAAGTAAGCGCACAAGGGCGCTTCCAAATCGTCACCAGGGGAAGCCATCCGGACTTTTGGGTTGGAAAAAAATTTTCTGCTTTTGAAGTCGATGAAACAGTGATTGAAAGCTTTTCATCCGTGAACTATTAGTCGAAGGACTACTCGAGAAGTGGTTAGACACCGTAGTATTTGTTCGTTAACTTAACTGCACTGTATTAATGGTTAAAGCCTCTATTTTTTTTCACAAAAGGGGTACACCGCTGTTCTACTTTTGTCACTTAAAAGCTATTGTACTAAGAGACCATTAGAAATTTTTTATCATTAAAAGCAGGAGTGCGAGAAGAATCAAGAACACCATTCACCAGAGATCCTTAAAGCGGTTTAGAAGTCGAAGTTTCCAATGAAGAGAAACACGGAAAATTTCGTCCTGCCAAGTATTACTCAAAAACTTTTTTCCACGAAATGACTGCATGGAACTTAACCATTAAAACATCTTGATGGGTTTGCAATCATCAGAAAAATAAATATAGAAAAAGGCTAGGAAAAACTTATAAAGGATGGGTGGTAAGGAGCTCAGTATTGATCACTTCTTTAGAAATGCGCAGTAAATTCGACTCTATTCGTATCATTGGAGAAATGATGTATATTTGGCTAGTACAATGACTTATAGTGACCTACAGATGTATCAAACCAGTGCTCTTATTCTCGCAGACAAGTCTTTTCTTGGTTTGCCTGGGAAGCATGTCAAGCCAACGTGCACGTGTGTATTGCAGCGCAACTTTAACTACTGCTACATCGGCCTCAAAGAATCCAACATTACTAGCTAGTTTGTGTTCTTTAAGCAACATAGTTCATGTTTCTAGCGAGCTTCCTATATTTGGACGGAACTCCAACGGGAATCGCCGAATATCTGGCAAGGTTATCTCTATGATGGGCTGTGGACGCTAGCAATAGCGCTAAGTCAAGCCCTTGGTGCAAATGCATCGTTTTCACACGTGAAGCTGCTGTCGGCGATCAACAATAGCTCATTTGAAGGCGTTACGGTAGGTCGTCTTGGTAACGGTTTTTTTTCTTGCTTTTTTTCTCTAATAGTCGAACTAGACCTAATTCTTGAAGGGCCGTGTTAGTTTCGAGAACAACGAACGCTTAGGACTCATCGACATTCGACAATGGCGAAGTGGTGCCTACAACGATATTGGACACTACGACGGCGCAAGTGATGTATTCATAATGACAAATGATCTCGGAGGTTTCAGATTGTTTCATTTACTTTGTCAGATTTATATGGCATACCTCTAAGGGAGCCTTATTGGTTCCAAGACGTTTTTTCAGTATTGCTTCTCTTGACTATGTTTCGTTCAGATTGGGAACCTCCTCTTGACGCTACTGTAATTGAGAGAAAACGAGAATATATTTCGAATCTGTTATTCGTAGTAATGTCGTTCCTTGCTTTGACCGGTATCTCACTAGCCCTCATCTTCTTGTTCATTAACATCAAATATCGAAATCACAGGTGAGTTACAATAAATTAAACAGATCGAAAAAAACTTGGAAACTTAAATATTTAAGCAAAAAGCAGAAATGTTTTTGATGCTCTGTGTTTAAAATCGGGTCGGTCATCAGCTTTTCCATTGTCGTGCATACAGATGTGGTATCGGTTGTAGGTTCATCAAGATGTCGTCTCCAAACTTAAACAACTTGATTATCGTTGGGTCGATGTGTACCTTCGCGTCAGTTGTTCTGCTCGGTATCGACACTCGCATACTCTCAAATGACAACTTTGTGAAATTATGCTATGTAAGTGCTATAATACTAATAAAGAAAGCTTCAGTTTACTTGAATAGCTTACTGTAGGTGTAGGACATTGTTGGATTAGTTACGGATTTAGAGTAAGTGTAGAGTGGGAAACCGCAAACTCACCAACAAGGAAATTCTTAGCTAACTTTCGCAAATTGTTGTGCACATTGAAATACGAGTGAACGTTGCTTTATCAAATTTTTAAAGAAAATATCAGCTGCTGCAACGCAATTTGTTTTTATAGGTTATTTAATAGTTTTCCTTCGCACTGATCCTTTTGCTAACTAGTTTTGTTGTTTTTCATTACCATTTTTTAATTCACGTGTTTATACAACTCACTGAAGAAAAACAAGGTACTTAAGAAATTCAGTACATAATACTCAAACCAAACTAATGAAACAGTAAGTTATTTATTTATACGATCTTATCAACTGATATTTTTAAGCTGATGCGAGGTTTGTATAGGTCTTCGTTTTCGGCGTCGTTGTTGTTGTCGTTGCTGTTGGTGTTGTTGGTCGATGGCTGACGTTTCGGCGATTTCGCCTTCCTCAGAGCCGTGGTGTTACGAGTATCACCTGTATCACCTATAACCCCGTTGATCGTCGAGTGACTCGAGCAGGCGCCAGTAAATCTTCCATTTTTCCTTGTCGTGTGCAAGGGTTCTGCTTGCTCTAAGGACTCGCAGAGCATCATATCTTTCTTCTAGGCTTTTCGTGAAAAACTATGACCATAGAGTCGGTGGTCTTCTTGCAGTGCGTTTAACATCCCGAGAAATGCAGTCGCTAACAGCTGTCCATCGGGTGTCATTCATACGCATTACGTGTCTGGCCCACCTTATCCTCGACTATTTGGCGTATAGAACGGCACCTGTGACTTCTGATCGTCGACACAGATCGGTGCTTCGGATCCCTTCCAATATTTGCTTGACACCGGACACTCCTAACATCGTCCTTTTGACTGTGTGTTTGATAACGCTGAGTGACCTTATATTCTGCTTACGTATCAACCAGGTTTCTGACGCATACGTTAGGGCAGGAAGTTCCGTTGAGTCGAAAAGGTGGGCACGGAGTCGGGTGTTCTTTGTTCTCTTCACTACATCCTCGATGTTCTTGAAAGCTCCCCAAGTCCCTCGTTTCCTTCTGCTCAACTCTAGAGCTAAGTCGTTCAACATGCTGATTTCCTGAACTAGATAATAATAAATAATAAATAACTGGAGCATTCGGAGATATTAGCTCCGTTGAGCGTAAACGGGGGATACGAAATCAATCCGTTCCTCATGAACACCGTTTTTGTAAGATTTAGCCGAAGGACAATCTTTCCACAGGCTCTGTCAAAGTCGGCAAGCATACGTCTGCCGACCATCGATTTTCACTCCCATATCATCCCACTCCAATGTTCGCATGATGTCCTCGAGGGTGGCGGTGAATAATTTTGGCCAGATGGTATTGCCTTGACTAACTCCTCTTTCGATATCGATGTTAATATCGTTGTAGAGTGGTGATATATTGGTTGTGAAATTTTTGTGCAGCTCACGAAGAATCTTTATGTGCTGAGTAGGGAATCCTTGACTATCAACAGCCTCTATGACTGCTTCTGTCTCAGTTGAGTCAAAGGCCTTCTTTAAATCGGTGAAAGTGAGACAGGGCGGTCTTCTGTACCTCTCGGGATACTTCAATTGTTACCGTGTGGATGTGGTCCATCGTATTAAAACCTTTTCAAAGCCCTGCTTGCTCACATGAATGCCCTTCGTCCAGTGTTCTATTAATCCTGTTTAGACTCGAGTGAAAAGTTTGTAGACGACAGAAAGCAAGCAGATTGGGCGATAGTTGCCGATATCGTGTAGATCACCCTTTTGAACAATAACACGGTCTTGCTGGTCTTCCACTGAATAGGGACCTTGTATTCAGAAAGGTAACGTGTGAAGAGCCGACCCAGTGTATTTACGACAACTGGTGGAATGTTCTTCAGGTGGTCTGATCTTATCATGTCCGGACGTGGTCCTATTCGATTTTTCACCGACGAAATGGCATGTCGGATTTTTGAAAGGAGAACCGGTGGTACAACATATCCATCCTCCTTTATTTCATATGACGGAAGGTGGACGTGGCTATCGAAGAAATCTGAGTAGTATTCGTGAATGATTTTCTCCACTGCCTTTCTGGACGCTGTAACTGTTCTGTCTGGGCGTCGGAGTGCAACCATCTTGGTCTTGTAATTGGCGAAGCTTCGGTGGGCTTTGCGAATGCTTTTCCCAGCCTCTGCAGCTTCGGCCACTACTGTTAGTCTTCTCTTTTTAAGATCTTCTTTCATCGCCTATCTGGATTGTTTTGCAAGTTCGGACGTTAGTTCGCAGTTGCCTGCAGCTCGTACGATTCCACGCTTGCATATCAGCTCGAGAGTTTCTGGATACAGACGTCTCTTGGTGAATTTCTAACCCACAGTTTTCATAGCGAAAGATGTTGAATGAGCTGAAAGTATTCCTCGTGAATGTTATCGACAGCGGTATCTTTCCAACAGCCGACTAATGAGTTGAATAAGTCCCTCTTTTTAGTGGTTTTGGGACTTCGTTTTTTGAAATTAGCGGCTTTTCTTCTTTTGCGAGAAATAGAATCTTGCAAGGAGGCGGTGGTCTAATCCCTTGTAGAATTTTGGGACAACAGCGACATCGGCTAGGCAAAACCTTCGATTTACTGTGATGAGGTTTATTTCGCTATGGTACTCTCCACTGGGAGATTCCCACGTCCAGCGTTGAGAGTGGAGCTTTTGGGGCTTTTGGAATTTCTGGTTGCCGCAGATTGTCTTGGCCATCTTGACAAACTGAAATAGGCCCTTACCCTGCTCGTTCCGTTCTAATTCGTGGGTCCTAATGTGATGTTCTACAGACGTTCTTCTTGGTCCAGTCTTGGCGTTAAAATCTACAACAATAACCTTGAAGAATGTATCGTCTTCTCTGTAGACCTTTTTCCAGCCCATGTAGAACGCTTCGACTGCTTTTTCTTCATAGCTCAACGTCGGCGCGTAAACGATGAAGATTTTACAAAGCCGGTGTTGATCCACATCTTTTTGATCGTAACCGTCCGATTCGAGTTGTAAATTGTTCGAATGAATCCATGGAGTCATTTAATACTAATATTAATCACAACAATAATAATTTGTCGTTCTACCTTTTTTTTTTCTCTTTCATTAACGTCTTCCACTGATGATCGACTAATTTCTTCTTTCTTTATAGTATAACAATTACGTTTGTATATGTCATTTGTTTTCAGGATCGACTTTCCCTTAATCTCGGCATTATATTATAAATACGCTGTTTTCTTGCTCAGCAATGGCGTGTTGTTACACAGCATAGGTTTACTTCCATACAAAAAATATGTGCAAAACAACAGCAGGTGGCGGTGTCGCATCTTATTCAGATCCTGGCAATGCATAGCATTACAACCTTTTAGGCTCTGAAGAAGACGACACTGCGAAGCGATATCTACTGTTGTGTTGTATACGTTTTTTGTATGGAATTAAAAGCATGCTCTACAACAACCTCGCAATTGCTGAACAAGAAAACGAGGCATTTATAATCCAATGCTGAGGTTAGGAAATTCGATACTGGAAACTAAATGAATTATACGAAGTAGCAAATTTTATTGAAATTGTCAGCTCACAGTTACCCTGAATTAAGGAGGAATTCTTGTAACATTTTTATCGTACTTGACTGTGGACGAAAATTTTGGATTGAAAAACATCTGAAAAAGAAATGGAATTTTGTGAGGAATTTTAGGTAAAGACATGGACACTGTGCCTCGGTTTCACTCTCGCGTTTGGCTCCATGTTCTCAAAAACTTGGCGAGTGCATTCAATTTTCACTAATATTAGGATGGACAAAAAAGCTATTAAGGTGTCCTCTTCTTCTCGTTCTTCCTACATTTCGCGTTACTGTAGGAAACTATTTACGAGTTTCACTATCGCTAGTGACATTCTTTCAGGATTCGAAATTGTTACTGATTCTAGCTGGCTTATTGTTTGTTGACGTTCTGGTGCTAACAGTGTGGGCAGTTATATCGCCTTTTCGAATGTCTGTGATGGAATTGCTACAAATAGTTCGTGATAATCGTTTTTATATTCGCTACATGTATAGTCAAGTAGAGCAGTAGCAAGAGGCGTTCTGAAATATGTGTAGAGGTATTGTTTCGGTCAAGCGCCGTGGGCAGACCAAGTCTTCCATATTTCTCGGGTGTGGGAAGTCTACTAAATTTTTTTTAAGAGGGTAGAAGCGCGGCCTTTTTATGTCGATTAGTTCCCATAAGTCATTTCATAGACCAGATCTCCATTCAACCACCAGATTGGACGAATAGAACTGAAGACATAGAGAATCCATAAGGGAGAGAACGACGTCAAGCACTTTTTTCATTACTCTTTGTTAACAATTAAAATTTTATTGATATGACCATGCATGTTTATAATTTTATTGTTTTTGCAGCAAAACTTTTTCGCAAAAGTTCCACCGTATTATTAGCGGCTGCCATTTCACAGATTAGCTTATATATCGTTCACTAGACCATTTCTTCTGCAAAGTTTAAGAACTATAGCACATCGTTTAGGAGAAATGGTTGGTTACGAAATCAGATTCGTTCTCAGTTGCGAGCCCAAATTGTCCAGGAAGGTTTCAATTAGAAAACATTGGAGAATTGTGGAGTAATTTGTAATTGAATAGAATCGTGGAATTAAATATGGAGTTAGAAATAGGGCCAATATTTAGTCAGTTGGCGGTTTAAATGCATTCATAAAACTTGAATAACTGCCTGTATTTACGAAAAATCGTGCAGGTCGTTATCCACTTGAATGGTTAGGCAAGTTTTTTTCTGGAGTTCCAACAAAGCTGCGCCAAAACTTTCTCAAATCACCACTTTGTTATTCGGCGGTCTTCATGGGGAGTGGAAGGTTTGCCTTCGCATAATTTGGTTGTTTTCAGAATGGTGGCGATTTCTGTTATTGGTTTACTCTTAGATGCTATTTCAAAAAACTTTTCCCACTTTTAGGACATGGGGCACTGGCTTTCACAAAAAAAAACTGGTGCACACAGAAATTGGTGGCATGAATACCATTTCTCCACCCTCACCTTCGATATGGTATCCAAGCCTTATCCAAGACACAACTTTTTTCGAGTCGCTTAGCGCTTAACCGATCTATTTCCTAAGTGCTGAAGATATTGGAAGAAATTTGAGTATGAATTAAAACTACGAACCTTTTCCGTTAGTTTGTATTGGTATTGTAGGAGAATAAAAACAATAAAAAACAAAAGTTTGTTGCTATAAGGTTCACATTCAGCAATATGATGATAAGGTTATCGTGCCTGAGATCGAGAAATGTCAGTCAACTCATTCGGCAGTCTTTCAAGCAATTCTGTACGCCGTCAAAGGAATTCTTATGGTAAGAATTTTTCAATTAGAGAAGATGTTTTACCACATTCGTTTCCTTGTCTAATCGTCTTCTTCCAGACTTTTCTTTCTATTTCAAAAGCGACTCGTAGGTTTTCATTAAAATAGCCCAGTTATATTCTGAGCTATTAAATCATTTTTGTTGTTCACAATGTTTATCGGATGGCGGTCAAAGGTCATGGCATGAAAAAATTCTGGTGGTTTAGAAAAGTAGTCAAGATGCTATAGGATTCAAGCGAGCATCCGAAGGTGACACCATTTAAAACACAAGATCTTAAAGGAGGATTTCTACACTTGGTAGGGATCAAATAAAACTACGTCTAACTACCTACGATTTATCTAAAATGAGCTAGCTCCTACATTCCATAAAAGGTGTAAAATCGCACGAGAGTTTCTATATGACAGCTCTTTGACCATTTCAGTGATCTATTGGGAGTTCATCATGCTGTGACCCTGCGCCCAACCATCCGATAGAGCCAATAGCCACTTAAGTCGTACCTCCTCTGAGATGAAAAGAATTACGATAACCAAAAGATTCCCACTTAATGATCTCGCACTCCGAAGAGAATGACATTCTCACATAGAACCTCATTCGAAGCCGGTGCTGTTGACATTGGATTGACTGCACGGAAGAGATTGCAAACCTTAAGAAATAAAGCCATATCTAAATCCATTCACAGGACATAGCGAAATCGTCTGGAAGGAAAAAAAGCGCAAACCAATTCAATATTGCTCAGTCTACCCAAAGACCACGCTCGAAATGTTGGGCTTGCCTATGACACATTTCAGTGGTTGACTCGATTCGATACTCGGATAAACCAAGCTCACTATTCATCCGAGCTGGGAAAAATTGGTAAAAGATAACTTCAGTGATGCTGAGATATTTGCAAAACTCCGGACTTCAGGTGTCTGCTGTAGGGAACGAACGCGCTATTGCCCTTCATTTCCAGGGAGTAACGCGTTCACCGCCATCCATACCATGCGGGTCCTTCGTTCCGCCTGTCTCTCAGCTAGTTCTATCGATCTCTGCCATCAGTAATCACATAAATAAAAAGTGTAGGCAGTAAATAAAGCGGTTAAGATAGGTAAAAGACTTGTTTAGAAGGATAAAAAGACTGGCTTGATATATCGTTGGACTCTGTCACAGCTCACAACGCATAGGATAAACATACACTCCTGCGATGCTAAACCATATCGTCCAACGCTATAATTTTCATGAAGGACCGTGTCTTCATACCGGCAACGGGCTTGCTAAGTTTTAGCAATAGACGAGAATTTTTTTTATAACTAGAGAACTTTACGGTTTGTGAAGATGACAACTCCATAAAGAAGGCTTTGCAAAATCCCTTTATAGATGCGATGGACATATATGCCACTATTTTGGACTTGCTACCATGGTCCATCCTACAAGCATTCTTGTTAGCATTTAAAAGCGTTTTGCAACTTGTGATATCGCAATTTGGGCTTTTTAATATCCTTTCTTATTCTAAACGATCGACAATATTGGAACGATTAGAATTGAAATATTAGTCAATAATTTCGCTGATCAATGAAGAACTTAGAAAAAAAACGTTTTTTTCGGTATTCCCAAGTGATTGCAGACTACAGAGCTTTTCTTGGCCGACGCACTCCACAACGTCTATGTTAGAGAAACTACCGACTGAGTGTAAGATATGCTGCGAAAAGTTCTTTTTAACAAAATATACCACTGAAAATGAAGTGCATGTTGGGCATTATGTTTTAGTAATGTCCTACCCACTAATTAACCAATGCGAAACGTTCTGTTCCTCTATCGGAAAGGTACGTATTATCAGCTAGCTGAGTTTAAATCGTGAATTACAATCCTTTCTTGTCGATGATAACTGAGTTTATTTATTTTGAAATCTAACACCGAGGAAATAAGAAGTGGCATCGCATATCTGATTGCACATTTTTCAATGAGTGGTGGGAGAGGCAGAACCGCAAAGACAAATCGTAGCCATTAACCAAGATGGACACGTCATTGAATGTTAAAGAAACCTTTCTATAACAATAAGTTGAATAAAGCTGAAAATATTTAACGGACATGGATTATTGTGATAGAATGCCAAAAAGACCTAATAAACTGTTCCAGAGAAATTTTCTTTACAGTTTCACAAATTTTTCTGGAGATTTCTCTTTTTTATCAACTAGTGAGCCACGTATTCTTCATTAAATGTAGATCCTGATCAGCGTGTACTGCTATCAAATAGACATGGTTTTACAGATACTTGGGTGCTTTTTGGCATGGGAAACACGACATGTGGACGTACCAGCATTGAACGACAGCAAATACATCGGTATGAGCGTCTATAATGTTGTGGTGATGAGCACCATTGGATTAGCAATCAGTGTTATCTTACAGGTATCGTATATTTATCGGAAATCTAGTTACATGCGATATTTACTGAAAATGCTTGCATTTCGCTGGCGTGTCTAACTAATAACAATTGTAATTCTTCGTCCACATTTGTCGCTTAAACATATACAACGGACTTATGTGGGTGCGCTTAAATTTGCCCTTAAATACACACCGATCTTTAGTTTCATGCTGGATTCAGGGCAAACTAAGTTCTTCCAGATTGATACCGAGCTTTTCTTCAAGAATAAAGAAAACCTGATTTGATAACCCATGGACTACCCCAAATTGCGGTTTAGACCCGGAATGCTTTCAATCTCTAACGATCTTACGAATAAATTCAAATGCATGCGGCTTTCCTTTAGGATTGATCAACACCAGACGCATTATGTTTTATCATTCTATTTTATATTATTTTACTATCTACGCTGTTTCTGAAGATTTTTGTTATTTGAGTTTTGCGATCATGTCTTTTAATCATCACTCACTGTTGTTCAGGAGCGAGTCAATGAAGCCTTCGCTCTGTCTTGCTTTTTTATCATTTTCTCAACAACACTTACGTTATGTCTTGTATTTGTGCCAAAGGTATTGTTTCTTCTTCAAATTTTAATTTTTTTACAGTTCTTTTTCTTTTCTTTCTTTGTGAAGAAGGGCGTGTGTAGCGCAGTGGTTGGAGGCACCACTGTGACGCATACATGGAATCGATCCCCGCACCCATGGTCCACCAAGCCTTCCTTCCCTCCGGGGTCGACAAATTGGTACCAGACTTGTCTGGGAGGATAGCAGCACTGCCCGATACAAGCCACGGCGAGGCATTGTAAAGGCCAGATATGCATTCAATCACCTCCAACGATACTTAATGAAGTCGAATGCATGGCGCATCCTTCAGGGATTGATCAACGCCGAGGGCTCTATCCTTTTATTTATCCTTGGCGAAAAATTTCAGAAAATTTTATAATTGTTACTGCCATAACGTATACCGAAAGTAACAAGATGTTTAGATCGTGGAATTGGTACGAAATCCGACTGGCAATAACCAGAAAGGTTATCGTCGACGTATGATGAAAGCAGGTTTCAACCATGGCTCCACTAATACTGTCAGCGTTATCCAGAGCGCGTACGCTTCAACTTAGCTCCAAAAAAATTTTTTTTTCGTTTTTTTAGAATGGTTTACTGTTTTACTATTTTAATGCCTAGAGAAGGAGTGCGATATTCAATAGAGGATAGCATTAACTAGGTGTGGAGTCACAGAATTTAGTAATACAGGGTCGGCCAAAAGTAAACCTGCGTCGGAAATCACCGTCATCCTGGTAGATAAATCTGGACTTTCGACCGTTAACTTTCATCCGATCCACAAAAGTCTTTGTCTTGCTGGATGACATCGTGCAAGTACTCTGAGGCGGGTATTTCGAGCCTTCAGAAAAGAAAACAAACTTGCCTAAACTAAAGATAACAGCGAAACGAAGTTTTTCTGGATCATGAGCAATTCGTGAAGACGGGAGACCAACGAAACGAAGTAATGTATTTTCTTTCGCCGTAGGTTGAAGCACATTTCTGTGTTTCTATTTCTATTTCTATTCAGGAACTTAAGCAGTAATACCAAAGCCTATGCGAACTGTTCCACGTCAGAGTAGCAAGTTTATTTCAAAACCGACTTCCCTTTAACCTCGGTATGACAGATCGATATGTATTCTTTCTTTGATAAGCTTACACGAGGTTGATAAATGATGTTAATTTCCGGCTAACGTTTCGACGGTATCTTCGTTGATCCAAATCAATGGTACATAGTTTTCTCGAGGTGGCGTCTTCGTCGCGCGTCGAGTGGAGACTTCCTCAGTGGAGCGTCTCTCTCGAATGAGCCACAGTCACCCGGCTATGTCCTTTTATAGATCCGGTATCCAGAAGATCCGGCTCGATGCGCGACGAAGACGCCACCTCGAGAACACAAACAAGTGTAGACCATCGACTCGGATCATCGGCTCTAATGAAGGCGATGCCGTCAAAGTGTTCACTGAAAACAAACATTTATAAACCTTGTGTAAGCTTATCCAAAAAAGAATACATACCAATTTAATGTTCACAGCTGCTAAGTTGGGTTGAACAGTGGTTAGTAGTGCTGTCGATCACAAAGCGAAGGCGGTAGTTCGATCCTATGTCAATGCTGTCCTCCAGTCTACGTGAGAACTCCTTAGCCTGGCTGTCTCCAAGACTCCAAGGAAAATTGACCCAACCAGCATTGAACGAGATTTATAAAGAAGATGTAATTTCCAAGCAGAAGCTTAAACAAAACTTTGGAATGCTCGAAGACCTTCGTGGAGGATGAATGTGAAGAGAACGAATCGAACGCAAGAAGTGCTGATATCTGTACGTTAGATGCGATGACTGGTCATGTAAAAAAATTGCTGTGCTAATGGCGAATGCTAGTAAACTCTTATAAGCATAATTTTAAACACTATTTCATTCACAATATTCTTGACAAGCAAACGCGAGCCGTTACTTTATTCTTAATTGGCAGTAAAGTCGACATTTCGGCGGATTTCACGTCCTTCAGAGCTCAGAAAGGTTAAGCTAACTGCAATCAACTCGGTCAAAACTTCTCCATAATTAAAAACAGAGAAAGCAGAAAACGAAAATTTTAATAGCATTAAAGACAAAATAACTTCTTCGCACATTCACCCCTTTCTATGACCACTTCTTGAGTATTTCATGTGGACTTCAACCGCAAAGAGTACACATTCACATGGATTGGTAACGCATCTCTCTCACATTAAAAAGTCAGCCTTAAATGCTGTGTGAGAACATCGTGTGATGACGAAGATTTTCACTGCTGATCATTTTTGGATTATCGGAATTTATCGAAAATGTCTCAAGAGTTTCGCGCACTTGTGTTCTCGATTCCTCTGAGAGGATCGTAACTTATATTTCAAAATCTTCCCCTTTATGCTTATGTCTTCGATGTGCACGTAGTACGCAGTATTTCACTCAACTTTAAGTTTAATGACTAGGTTTTCTTTTACACAGATGCAGAGTGGCCTACCTGTCTCGCCAATATATTCGTGCCAGCACGCCTTAAACGTGCTTGGGTAAACCGTACCCGAACTCATGCAATCGATATCTCTACTGTTAGGGCATATTATACAAATTTGCGTTGTACATAGACGGTCGGACTGAAAACGTTTATCAATTTTCTTTTGTGTGTGCAAATAATAAATCAATAATCTACATTTCGACAGTAGAATAGTGGACGGATATCGACTACTGTTCCTGTTTTGTTCTTCTATTAAATGAGAGCTTCTATTTTAGACATTAAATGCAATTGCAAGACTTGGTGCCCATGCTTTCGCGTAGTCAACTCCCTCATTTGTGCGCAATATTTTCCGCACACCTGAAGGTTGAGCTGTTTGAGCACTTTTTCAAAAGGACCATCATCTGCTGAATCGTGAACCCATACATGTTTATTGCTCCTTCGCGTTGTATAAGGAGTTCGAGAATGGTCTTAATTTCTATTTCTTCTTCCAATAGTTACTATTTCCTTCAGCAATAAAAAATAGCAGACATTGTGAGTAAAAAAGAAAAAAGTGCCATACCCAACGCTTTTTTTTTAAATAGAATTTATTTTCTTCAGCTATGAAAGCGAGAAGGATATATTGGCAAAAGCAGAAGCTGAAAATCAACTGAGACGACGTTGTGTTCATCAGGTAAAGATGACGTTTATCAGGGTTGCATTCCAAGACGTTACTGTTTGTTGTATATTCGAAGTGTTTTCGAAACATAGAAGTTTATGCTGAACGGTTGATTCTCATTTCTTACTTATAGACCATTAGTTTTCAAAGAAGCAGTGTAGATGAAGATTATTCTCTGTTAGTTTTGGGATTAAAAAGTATTTCGAAAAAGCGAAACCATAGTTTACATTCCTTCTGCCAATCATACTAACGGATGGAAGGACAAAGCATTCGACGTCGACTGCCTCCTCAGGGATTCAGAGACTGTGTGATTTTACTCCATTCATCGCATGGTAGAGGTGATTGAGTTGCTTGGGAATTTGGCTTATACGGTGAATTTGTGGTAGCTTAGCGATGAATCAAATCAGTGTGTTTGTTTTACCAGACAACTCTGGTGCTAATTCACCAATCCAGAAAAGATGGAAGCCATAGCCAACCTTGTGCGCGGAATCGAACCGACGACCTCATGTGTATTGCGGGTTGTATTGTATCTCTAACCACTTCACTGCATAAACTAAATTTTAATATACTGTTGTGGCTTATATTTAATAAGATTGTCACGGCACTGTAGAAATATTTTTTTTCCAAGCTTTATGTAAGAGCTAACTCAACTGTTACAGAAACATTTCAGAAAAGCACGCAGCTATGGGATTTGTTGCAAAAACTTCGTGAACTTGGTGATACGCAGTTTTTACAGCAAGGTTTTCAAAGTTCATTTGCATTTTCTTTATCAACACGACCAATACCGTGTAAATTTTTGTGACTTCGAGTTTTTTCACATCAATTCCCTGTAAAATGTAATTTTTGCGAAAAGAACTGGTGACGCTACTAACCAGTTATAGTAGTACAATTTTGTTAAACGTATTTGCTACGATGTGAATTCATTTCAAATCACACATAAACGGGGCGCTTCGAGTTGATTTCCACTCGTAGAAAATGTCCATTTATAATCTTGACCTTTTTATTTACTGCCTATTCTTTTTTAATGGCAGGGTATATTGCGAAATATAACTTCCATAATGCTGAGATATTTGCGAGACTTCGGACCGCAAGTGTTTGCGGTGGGAGCTGAATGCGCTATTGCTTTTTCCGGCGGCTAACGCGTCCACCACCACACAATGCGGGTCATTCGTTTCGCCTGTATCTCAGCTAGTTTTCTATTTCTAAAAAAAGTTGACATTGTGATTTAAACTACAGCTTCAGCTTAACTGGGTTCAATGCCGATTTGGGCTCCTCAGATCAATCCCGCTGACGGGTGATTGCTTATGGCAGTGATCGATAGAAGTAGTTCAGAGGCAGGCGAAATGAAGGGCCCGCATGATGTGGTGGTGAACGCGTTAGCCTCTTGAGAGAGTAATA